CGAAAGAGACGCATTTCAATTTTCTCCCATTGACTTATAATGGGGAGGTCGCAAAATTGACCTGACCTTAGGTCATCGATATCAAAATTCTGAGATATACATTTTGTACATGCTATTGCTCTTAGCAATCGCTGAAAGTTTCAAAGCGATCGGTCACTCGGTGTAGCTATGACAGACATTGAAACTTTTTATGAGGTGAGGTCACTTCAAGTGACCTGGTGACCTGACCTTGAATGACCTCGGTCTGAAATTTTCACAACATGTGTAGAATTGATGCATGATAAGGTGTACCCAAAACGGCGGCGCTCCGCGCCGCCGTTTTTGAGATATTCGCGAAAAACCACAAGGGGGGTGTTCAAACACCCCCCCCCAGCAGGGCGCGGGTTAACACGCGCAGTGGAAGGGGGGGGGGCGGATGTCGCCCACCCCTCCTGTTTTTCGCCAATAGCTCGCGCCGCAAACAAAATATTAATGTGGAATTTTGGCTACCTGCTCAGAATTGAATTGCGGATCTTCTCGTGCAAAAAATAAGAAAATCGGTTCACAACTGTTCTAGTAAGAGCGATGTGAAGTCAAACATCCTGCCGCCGCGGCGGCGCGGCGGCGCGGCGGCCGGCGCGGCGCTAGCCGTTACGCGCCGCCTGAATTGTAGACTGTGCCGGGGCGGGACGCTTCCGTTTTACATCGCGCTCCTTACCGCTGATTAGATTAGATTCGCGTCAAATTTGGTGAGAAGACTGGGAAATGTACAGGAAATCATATGGTCAAAGAATTTTGAAAATCGGCCGGTAACAACTTGAGTTATGAGTGTGTAAACACAAAATTGTGATTGCCGCGTTTCCCGCGTCGGCCGATCCCGCTTCAGCCGGCGACATCTTACCCTTAGCAGGCTTCTAACTGCCATATTTATTGTTGGATTAACTAGAAATTCACTTTACATACTCACAAATGTTCGGTTTTTCGTATAGTGAAAGAAAAAAGAAAATCGGTCGGTAACTTTTTGAGTTATCAGCGTGTAAACGCAAAAAAGTCGCTCATATGGCAGATTTGACCACATTTGACCTCATTTGACCTTGAAGATATTGACCTAGGGTCATGAAATTCACACACGACAGAGTTCCCTATGGCCCTCACCTACCCTCCAAATTTCGTTATTCTAGCTCCAGTGGGAGCTGAGATCTTAGGGGGGGGGGCGACATCCGCCCCCCCCCCCCCCTTCCACTGGGCGTAGTACTGGTAACCCTTCCACTGCGCGTGTTAATCGCAAGAAAATCAATCGTTTTCCTTTCATTCGTTTCATCGGAATAACAACGGAAAACAGGGATGCAGAAAAATATGTTTACTTCTAGCGAGGCATACAACACGTCATACCCCGTTACAATCACGCTGCACAGACAGCTACACACGTGGTCGCCACGTGGCTAACTGCGGGCCTGGGACCACGCTGCCGACCGTCTGATGACCGTCTGATGCCGGTGGTGGCATTAGCGCACACCCGGTGTCCAATTACTGAACCCGTCACAGAAAGGAAACCCCGCCACATCGAAACACTGGGGTCCGGAGCTGTGCGGAAGTCTCTCGGCACGTTTGGGTATGAGACGCCGTGTGTCGCCAAATTATCAGCGGTTTGATTGAGTTTTCTGCCGTCAGTTCCGCTGGTTGTCGTGCGACCACCCGTGGCGCCCCTCGGTACCCTTGTCTATTCTTATCTTATAAATCGTCCTATCTTATCCGACTCCTAATTTCCATTGCTGAAGATTAGTCAAAGCCAGAGTTCAAAGGTGCCCTCCCGCTGGAAGGGTGCCAGGATCGTTATCAGGGGGCAGCTGGACGTGGCCGGGCAGGAAACGGCTGTGCTGTGGTCATTCGATGGCCACGTGGTGAACATATACTTCAACCTATCTGTAACCATGCTATAAAGTCCTGCATAAGAGACACCGGAGTACATTCACCCATGTCTGGTGCTGGGTGTCGGATTATTTTTCTATTAACCCGCGCCCTGCTGGGGGTCCTGGATTTCCACGCCCTGCTGGGGGGGGGTGTTTGAACACCCCCCCCCTTGTAGCTCGGCTCCTGGGCCACGTAGCGATACGCGGAAGGCGGCGTTCGAAAGAGCGTCAAAAATAATGACGAAATCACTTCGGTCAATTTTTTGGTCAGGTCAAAGGTCAGGTCACCAGAGGTCATTGAAGGCAAAATTTCGCCGATTTCCAGGTCGAATGTCGAAAATTTCCAAGAAGCCAACGCATAACTCGGGAACCAATAGAGCTACAGCGCCGCGGAAAAGCGCATTCGATAGCCCTATTAACCCTCGCCCGCACATGCCATTTTCCCATCCTAGAACGCACATGGGGGGGGGGGGGTGGTTGCCACCCCCCCCCCGCGCCATTTCGTTCCTGTTGGAGATAGAGCTTAGCGGTAAAGACCAAAAAGATTCTTTGGGAAGAGACGAATCCAATGGTACCCAGTTTTACCTTCTCAGGTCAGTCATTGACCTTCCAGGTCAGGTCAAACTAAAAAATGTTGCTGTTTTGGGTCACCATTGGATATCAAGTGCGCTGCTTATCATATACCGATGACGATGCCGTTTTCTGGTGCCAAGCCAGCTAGAACCTCTTTGTCACACTACCCGACCAGGTTTTTGTTGCTGAGGTCATTTCAGGTCAAGTTAGGTCAAGGTCAATTATATGTGTTTGTATGTCTGTGTGTGTCTGTGTGTATACTAATGTGTGCACCGATTGTTTATGTGTCCATATTACATGAAATCATGATCTGAGAAGCTTTTACGAAAAATGCAGTCAAAAAACTTCACAAAAAGTAAATTTCGCTTACCCAAAACGCAATTATCTTAGATGACCTAGGTTGACCTTGACCTTGACCTTGACATCTGTACATCGTCGAACAACATGTTCCATGATAGGTGGGAGGTAAGACTGGCAAAAAAGGCCGAAATCAAGGTGTCAAAAGCTCACAAGGCCCGTAGCCAACGCCAGATGTTGAGAATTGGCCATTTAGGTCATGACATGACCTGAAAAACAAGGTCATATCTCCGAAACCGAAAACCGCAGAAACTTGAAATTTTCAGTGGACATCGAGAAAGGATAGAGGAGCAGCTATACCAAAAATCAGCCTCCTAGCTCTAAAAATGTTGAGTGCAGAGCAGAAAGACTACCTGGGGGGGGGGGTGGCAACCACCCCCCCATGTGCGGGCGAGGGTTAACGCCCTTTCTGAGTAATTCTCTCAGATTTGACCTAACGTCAACGGTTTTGCCTGCAGGGGGCAAAAACTGCAAAAATAGCCGATTTTTTCGAAAACAGTTTTTCTGCAATAACTTTAGACCCAAGCCTTGTACGAGCTTCCTTTTACGGGCATCGTGTTCCTCTCGTCAAGACGCATCGAATGAACTATAACTTGACCTTGAAAGGTCAACTTGAAAATTTGACCTCAGGTCAAGGTCATGACCTGACCGGAAAGGTTCATGTTGCATATCAGTCGATCCGTATCGTCGAGCTGAACACATCTAAGGCGTTTTCATCGCTCTAGCATGCCTCTATCAAAAGTTATTTGCGAAAAACTGTTAGATACCATTCGTGACCTAAGATGACCTCAGGGCATAAACAAGGGTCACGGACACCATTTTCAAGTTCAGTGTGTCTAAACCACTTGTAATTCGGTGTTTGGGAGTGTTTATAATGTCTTTCATCCAAAAGAGGCGCATTTCAATTTTCTCCCATTGACTTATAATGGGGAGGTCGCAAAATTGACCTGACCTTAGGTCATCGATATCAAAATTCTGAGATATACATTTCGTACATGCTATTGCTCTTAGCAATCGCTGAAAGTTTCAAAGCGATCGGTCACTCGGTGTAGCTATGACAGACATTGAAAGTTTTTATGAGGTAAGGTCACTTTAAGTGACCTGGTGACCTGACCTTGAATGACCTTGGTCTGAAATTTTCACAACATGTGTAGAATTGATGTATGATAAGGTGTACCAAAAACGGCGGCGCTCCGCGCCGCCGTTTTTTAGATATTCGCGAAAAACCTCAAGGGGGGGTGTTCAAACACCCCCCCCCAGCAGGGCGCGGGTTAAAATGCAACTTTGAAATTGCGAGCTAGCGCGAGGCGCGAAGCGAATCTTTTCAATTTAAATGGAAAAGATCACAAAATGTGCCTAAAAGGCTTTGTGTCAAAAGTTTCCGGCTATTGCTGAAAAAAAAAACATTTTCCATAAACATGTCAGTTTTGATGGGCACACCTTTGGGAAGCCTGACCGTGAACATAATGTCAAAACTCAAATCGATAACGCAATTTGGAGATAGCATGATAGTTTCTACTTTTTGGAAATTTTACCCCACACAACCATATAAACGATTGTTCCCGCTGCCTAGCAAGTTATAATAATTAGTGACGTTCGCCTTTTTTCAGCAAGTTACGGAAGCAGACAAATATGTGCACTGGCAGCGCTAGCCGTGACCAGGAATAGAATCCCTCGCCACTGCACCGCCCGACCGCGCGGCCGGCGCCCAGCCCAGGGACGGTGTCGGGATCTCTGGCCGCCGCCCGATCACGTGACCGACCCGGCCCGGGGCGAGGTCAGCTGACACAGTGCGGCCCGGTGGACCCTCACACTGGCAGCTCAGAACCGTTCAGGACGCACGGCCGGCTGGCCGCCTTTGGTAGTGCTGCAGGGTGTGAGACCAGTTTTTGCCACGCTGCAGCTGTCAGGTCGGGGCGACTGCCTTTTAGTGTATTTTTTTGTCTCGCGTGTTGCAGTTATTCCTGTATAGTGTATAGTTTTCTCCTAGAAGCTTGTTACCGTCGGTTTCCTGCAAGCACCGACGGGTCTTATCCACCGGTTAGATCACTCGTTTCTTTGGGAGCAGCTATATTGGTCGCCTCTTCCAGTAAGAGTCCATGTTTCTCAGATGGGATATTGTCCGTCCCCAAAACTCTAGCCATCTACCATCCTGAAAAAAAAAAATCAAGAGCCAAAAGGTAAAGCATGACGATATGTATTTTGCGCAGTGTGCAATGCACATTGCTCAAGAGCCAAAAGGTAAAGCATGACGATATGTATTTTGCGCAGTGTGCAATGCACATTGCACACGCATGCGCAATAACCATCCCAAAAAAAAATGACACTAAAAAACGTCTGTGCATACGGGTGGCATCGAGTCACAGCAATAGTGCATATGGTCAGGTTGTGCGACATTTTACCACATAATCTACTATGCCAAGTGAACATTGACATTGTACCACATTACATGATATCACAATACCTACTCTTACATCGAAACAAGTATGAAAATTTGCACTAGTATATGCACAACAGTAGCACATAGCAATATAGCAGATCACAGTTCCATCAACAACATAGCGACACAATATAACATTACTAAGATAAAAATATGTACAAATATATACAACATCGCATGTCCAGGCACGGTCGTAGGTCCTGCCCGCGTTGGTCACGGGCCGCCCTCATCAGAGCCGAGCGACCTCAGACGGAGTCGGCACCCTCTTCCCCCGCCCCCTCCGGCACGTCCCCTCGCTGGAGGAAGGGCCAGTCCCCCAGCCAGGCGGTGGGCGGCCTGTCCTCCCCAGCCTCCCGACCGGTGTGGGGCTCCTGAGGGACCGAGCCGTCCACCAGACGAGGCTCCCGGCCGACCGCCGAGGGGGGCTTGCTGGTCAGGCGCAGGTGCGGCAGGGGCTGGTAGCGTCCGTGGCGAAAGTGGGAGAAGTAGCGTCCCAGCTCCAGGTGGCGGACGGGACGGGGACGCTCCGCCAGCACCAGGTCCTCTGAAACAGAGAACAGAGATAGTTAGGGAGGTGTGCCGAAGAATGGTGTTGGGAGTGATGACACACAAACACTGCTGATATATCACAGCTTCTTTGGCAGGCTAGTTCCTTTCCTTGTTCAAATATGGCCACGACGTTATGCTATTTCAGATATTGTTCTATGGCCAGGGAGAAAAAGGAAAATGGTGCAGCATTTACTACCACGCTATGCTGTAAATTTCTGCAGCGCAGTCTGCAGCGATGTCCTTACCCTCCCTGACGCGGAGAGCGCAGTGTTCGCCGTCCAGGAGTAGGTCGTACCACGCCGTGGTCTCGCTGTCCGTCACCTGACGGTGAGAGAACAGCAGGGTCAGCATTCAGCGACGTTTGGGCTGATGTGTTCAGTTATCAGGGCACAGAAGGAAAATCTGTTTAGTTTGGAGAACTGGCCAACATCATTATCGCATGTTGTAAGGAGACAACCATACCAATCAAAAAGCCTATCTAAGGGTTATGTATGAAAGGTAGCGGACTACTCCCCAAAGCTGACCTTAGAAGAGAGCACGGCGTAGATGACGCCCATCACCCCGCTGTCGGCGGCGAAGGTGGCCACGTCGCCGATTTCCAGCAGGGGCTCGTAGTACCTGCAGGTTTCGGCGTTCACGAGGGCTGCCTGTGAAATGGAGCCATTCATCGTCAGTTAAAACCGGGCTCTTACAACAACGACAAACCTGTAAAGATCCTCAACCACTATTCAGAGTCATATCCTGGAGCATGTGTCATATTTTTGTTTCTATCGTTTTTCAAACACGGACCGACATAATAACAATGAATCTCCGGCACCAGCTCGTTTCAACCGAACTCACCGTGCGTCTCAGGTACGCCTCGTTGGTGTTGAGCCACCGGTGAACCTCGGTACTGCGGCTAACCAGTGACGCCATAAACTGGCGGATACCCGCCGCCTCGTCCTCCGACACATCGGCGGCGTCCAGGTACTCCTGAAGAAGGGAATATAATCATCAGTACTGCTGTTAATAATTATGATGATGGTTTGGGATTTTAGGGCGCCCAGATTGCGGTGTTCATCGACGTTCATTAGGGGAGAGTGGGGCAAAGCGGCCACCCGGGGCAAAGCGGCCATCCATCGTTTTAGCCCTCCACAGCTGGCGTCAGTTCCAATTTATGATTTCCAATTATTCTTCTCTTTGCGGTCGTTCGAATGAGCCAGACCGGGGTTTCAGGCCCATCGCCATTGTTCTGTGAAACACGGAAAAGCATTTCTTGCCAGGTTACCAATTATGTTTACAATTTTTAAATGTTATTTTATTCCATAACCGTTTGGAATTTTTATAAGCGTTTTTGTCCATGCATTGCGTGGTTATCGTACACGCCTTCTACCAATTTTAATGCTTTTTACCCCACTAATAGCTGAGCTGGAATATTTTTGTCTCGGACGGTATGCGCGGGGCAAAGCGGCCGGGGCAAAGTGGCCAGCCCCCAATTGGCCATAAGTTGTTTCCATCTGAATAAAAACATTATTTATATTCAAATGTGTCGTCATGCATTCATCTTGGCCACTTTTCGGTTACATGAGTTACGAAATTATGCAATTAAATGTTTTTCCAAGAAAATTCTTTCTTTGTTTAGCAATAGGTGGGAAGAGAACAAAGTAAACATCCATCTTCCCTTAAACCTTGTCACCATCAAATACCCTAGTCGTGCATGAGGCAACTATTCTGTTTCTCATATCGGGACTTGAGAAGTCGCCAGTGGCCGCTTTGCCTCAGGGATGGGGCAAAGTGGCCAATATGCTATAGGTTTAAAGTTTTGTCAATATCTCCCATATGTGAACGCCTTTGGAAATGAAACGCAGTTGGAATAAAAGACAATTTAATAGGGATCACATTGGTATAGAAAGAATCTTTCCAAGTTTAAAAATCAAGCGTCGGTATCGTTAGAAACGTTAGGGTGGCCGCTTTGCCCCACTCTCCCCTACTGAGGTTTGAAGTGGCTGTATTTACATATTTTCAAAAGCATTCATTTCGCACTTGTGATTGTAAGCACTTCGGTTAGGAGATATGCAACATCATTTAAACACATAGGGCCCCGTGACATTTGCTGCTGGCACACCGTTCAGGCTGGCTGACCTGACAGAGGCGGCGGGTGTAGGCCGGTCTTGCGGCCTGCAGCTGGCCGCAGACGCTGCGCAGCTGCAGCCGTCCCGGGTGGCAGCCGTCCATGGTCCGGTAGAGCAGCAGCTGGTTGGCCTGGTGGTCGGCCTCAGTCTCTGCGCGGACGCTCCGCTTCCATTGGTAGCCGCCGGCAGAGAGGTAGTGCAGAAGCTGAGGACAGAACCAGGGGCGCGGTTAGCAGCAGCGGGACGCTGTTGAAAAGCTATAAGCTATGTGATGATTCTTACAATGGCAACTTCAGTTTGATTTTGGTTTCATGCTTCACGTGATCGTCGCCAAGGGCACTACTCACCATGCCGGGCGTCATGGGCTCGAGGAGGATCCTGTGGAAGGCCTCCCCGCAGACCCCCTGGACCTCCTCCACAGCGGTCTCCAGGTCCAGTTGGACGCCACCGCGGGCCACGTCGATGAAGATGACGTCTTCCTCGCTGGAGAAGCAGGAAACAGTCATTATCGATGGAAAACGGCATACTACATAAATGGTGCCAAAAACTGAGCATCTTTCTACTTGCATTACAATATACCTACCACTAAACACTTCAACTGCAAACAAGAAATGAATCTAAAGGCAGCAATACAATTGTCCACTCTAGATGCACCAGGTTAGCCGGTAGTCAGTACTCACACTGGCTGCCAGCGGACCAGCCACGGGTCCATCATCCTGAGGTGCTGGATCAGCACCCCGAGACGGCCGGCGACGGCGGCATACAGCGCCGTCATGACGCCCTGCAGGCCGCTACCCCACGTGACGATGTCACGGTGTGCCACGCGCAGCTGTTGAGAGAAAATAAAGTTAAACGATCAGCTCAGGGTGAAATTCAACAAACGATGAAGACAAAGATCACACATGTGCAGTGCTTTCGTGGGCCGCAACGACAAACAATGTCGGCAGCATTTTTTCAAACATTTTGTAGTTGCCAAGTTTCAGCTCTCTATCCCCAGCGTGTTCGGACAGCAGTTTTGTAGTTGTAAGTTTGTACTTTTGACACGTCGGCACTTTATCATTAGGCTTATAACTCAAGCTTCAACGGATTATTTTAGGTTACTTACAGTGGCGTGCAGCTCCCGATCCTCCGGCCTGTCGTGGTCTTCCGGTCCGTCCTGCTTCAGGAGCCGGAGCCGATCGTACAGCGTGAAGTTGACGCATTCGAACACCTGTTCGGACAGCAGGTCGGACCACAGGGTGTCCACCAGGGGCTCGGAGCGGGTCTCGGTCCAGGCAGACACTGGGTGGTCCGGGTAACACCGCTTCAGCTCCTGCAGAGCAATCTCCGCCACCCGAGTCGCGTACCTGGACAATCAACGGAGAGTCAGTTAGGAATGCAGGAGGATTGCTGGCGAAGTCAGAATCTGGTGGACTTAATTACTCTTTGTTTTCGAGGCAGTCACATCTTTTACAAAAAAGTAACAGTTGTAGTTTCCGGCTATCCACACGTAAAAAAATGTTTATCGCTTGAGTTTATTCCCGAAAGCGTTGATGAATAAGGTACCTTAGTCACCACATTCGCGGAACAGACTCCCTTACCTCTGCACGTCGGAGGCCGGCCGCGGCCCCAACTCAGGGAACCGCCACATGGCCAGCAGGCGGTAGGCCTCGCCGACCTCCTGCTGCTCGGGAGGCAGCTCCATGAACCTCCGTATCAGCGGCACCAGCACAGAGTCACGCTGCACCTCCCGGTACAGCATGGTGGCGTAGTAGCCACGCGAGAGTCCGTTCCTGGCAAGGACAAGTCACATTGTCACCCTAGAGTTGTGAAATTATTTGAATCCACTTCCAGGAGATGTCATGTTGAGCATCACATTGAGTTAATATCTCGACAATTTTTTGTAATATTTGGTATAACATAGCAAGTTACGAGAACAAATAACCAGAAAGTAATGGAAAGTTACTCTCACAGAACAAGTACACAGAGTAGGGTAAGGTGCCTAATTAGCGACCCCCTTAATTTGAACCGTCATTGCTCACGCTCTGTGGGTGCCACTGTATTACTGGCTTGATTTTCGGAGAGGTCGTTCATTTTTCGATTAAAAAATAGTCATTTTCTGCCCCAATATTCACTAAATTATTTGTAGTGAGCATTTAAGCAAACCATTGCAAAAAACGCTAATAGGGAACTCTTCCCGATTAGCGACCAGGGAGGGTCGCTAATAAGTCTATGGGTTTCCCCATATTAAAAATGGCAAAAAATGCGACGCCTGAAAAGATGTAATATTATCTCAAAAAGGTAACCTATACGCAAAGCTCACTCAATCACTCGAACAGGAACGTTTATCCAACACATTTATGTAAGTAAAAACTGATCACGTGATGCACCGAAGGCGAAAAGAAGGCGGAAACCCAAATTTTGCGGGCTATCTCGTATGATATTCGAGGTCCGCGCTGAATTCGGCACCCCTGCAGTCGGTGACGACATTTGACATCCCCTGCCACACATTGCAAGCTTCAGCAACACCTCATTTTCATTTCTCTCCTTTCCCCTTTCTTTCCCTTCTTGAGCTATTTGCGACCATGTCAGGCGCAAATAGGAAATATGAGTTGCGACACATTTTTAACCGCCATGCTGTGCACGGTTAAGCGATTCACTTTGGGAAAACGGCAATCAATTGAAAAAGGAATGTCGATTCAGAATAAAAAAGGTGCATCATCCTAATGTGCATCGCTTTTCATCAGAGAGGGCCCAAACACACACGTTTTGGATAAGAAACTCGTCATTTTCATTTAAACTCACCTGAAACGTCCCACCAGAAACATCGACAACCGTAAAATAATTTAATTTGATAACCAAAGTATGGCTGACCTTTTGACGATGTTTTTACCCTGTTTTCTCCCGCCAGTTTTTCTGTAGGGAGGTAGGTCGCAAATCGGAAAGGGTCGCTGATTAGGCACCTTACCCTACACTCAGCTATCAGCCAAATGATGACCTTTGAACTAAAAAAGAGTAAAAAGACCCCTTAGTCACCTTACCTCCGTGTAGGCCGTGGATGAAAGATTTCATCCAGGAGGGCGTCCCTCATGACGAGGGAGCCGTGAGCCGCGGTGATCCCGCGGAACTCCTCCATGGCCTGGTCGGGCAGTCCGGGAACGGGGTGAAATTGGCCGGCCACGCGGTCCAAAAACACCCTCAGGTGCTGCCCGTACCCCAGCCGACACTGGGTAAGGGTGCGCCAGTTTATGCCGCGGAGCAGCCCTCTGACCTCACGGCAGTAAGTCGGCTGTGTAAGGCGAGGGAACCTGCCGGAGAGGGACAAGTTTCGTTAGACATCGCACAGCAATTTCAACTAAATGGTTTATGTTCATGGGAGGATTAACCCGCGCACCGACGGGGGGGGGGGCGGATGTCTGCCCCCCCCCTGAGGTTTTTCGCGAATAACGGGAAAACCGCGGCGCGTAGCGGACTATTCCCTCATTAATTTTACACATGGTGTGCAAGTTTGAACCTCCTACCTTTCAAGGTCAGGTCACCAGGTCACTTTGAATGACCCAACCTCAAGTCACTTTTTTGCAACTTTGTCACCGTGCCAGAGCTACAGTAGATGTCGGAGGCCTTTGAATGTCGCAGGATGTTATCAGGTCATTAGTAGCTACAATTTGTGTATCTCGGAATTTTGATATCCGTGACCTAAGGTCAGGTCAATTTCGCGACCTCCCCATTATAAGTCAATGGGGAAAAAATCAACTCCCTGTTTTTACCACTAAAACGGGTCGGAATGGCCCCATATACCATAGGGGAGAGTGGGGCAAAGCGGCCACCCGGGGCAAAGCGGCCACCCATCGTTTTAGCCCTTCATAGCTGGCGTTAGTTACAATTTATGGTTTCCAATTATACTTCTCTTTACGGTCGTTCGAATGAGCCAGACCGGGGTTTCAGGCCCATCACCATTGTTCTGTGAAACACGGAAAAGCATTTCTTGCCAGGTTACCAACTATGTTTACAATTTTTAAATGTTATGTTATTCCATAACCGTTTGGAATTTTTATAAGCGTTCTTGTCCATGCATTGCATGTTTATCGTACATGTATTCTACCAATTTTAATGTTTTTTACCCCACTAATAGCTAAGCTGGAATATTTTTGTCTCGGACGGTATGCGCGGGGCAAAGTGGCCGGGGCAAAGTGGCCACCCCCAAATTGGCCATAAGTTGCTTCCATCTGGATAAAAAACATTATTTATACTCAAATGTGTCGTCATGCATTCATCTTGGCCACTTTTCAGTTGCATGAGTTACCAAATAATGCAATTAAATGTTTATTTTCATGAAAATCCTTTCTTTGTTTACCTACAGGTGGAAGATGATAAAGTAAACATCCATCCTCGCTTAACCTTGTTACCATCAAATACCCTAGTCGTACACAAGGCAACTATTTTGTTTCTCATATCGGGACTTGAGAAGACGCCGGTGGCCGCTTTGCCCCAGGGTATGGGGCAAAGTGGCCAATATGCATAGGTTTAAAGTTTTGTCAATATATTTCATATGTGAACGCTTTTGGAAATAAAACGCAATTGAAATAAAAGGCAACTTAATAGGGATCACATTGGTATAGAAAGAATCTTTCCAAGTTTAAAAATCAAGCGTTGTCATCGTGAGAAGCGTTAGGGTGGCCGCTTTGCCCCACTCTCCCCTACATGTCCTTCATATACGATCAACCTTCACTACCTTGAGGTCTGTTTTGCTGTTGGGCAGCTGTGAGATCATGTGACGTCATCAAAGGTCACCAAAGGTTTTTGGCCAATAACTCCGTACAGGAATAAGATACAGACGCGTGGATGGTCTCATTTTGTTCAGCTCGTCAAGACGCATCGAATGATATACATGATGACCTCAAGGTCACGTGACCTGAGGTCAACCTTTGACCTTGACCTTTCGAGGTCAACATATATAGCATTCGATGCGGATTGACGAGAGGATCACGACGATGCCTTTAGTTTGTTCCTATCTTGACTAATTCGAAAGTTATTCGAGAAAAACTATCCATATCTAGCGCCGCCATTTTGACTTTTTCGACCACTGTGACGTCATCTTTGACCTGACCTGAAAATGACCTTAGTAAAAATTGTAGATCTTGACCGTGCGTATCCGATGCCGTTTACCGCTTGTCGCTATCTTGCTTCGTTCTCGAGATCTCAGGGGGGCGGTCATCCGCCCCCCCCCCCCCCGTCGGTGCGAACTGCGAAGTTGGCGCAGACCCCCGTCGGTGCGCGGGTTAATATTACCACTTAAATACACTAATTGCTACCATGCTTTACAAGCACTATTGGATATTGCAGCATAACCATTTTAACCCCTCACTCGACAACGTCATAAAGCGCCTTCCATCAGAGCCAACAGATCACCCTGCTGTTCTTCGTAGGTAATTCACGAGCTGCTGGTGAAGCAAGCTCAATGCAACTTTTAGTTTTATGAACCCGTGAGCCAAAACTTACCTCCTCTCAAACATCGCTCTCCATATCTTGTTGGACGTTGCATAGGCGCGGGAGCCGGGGGGGCAGTGGGGGCAGCTTGCCCCCCCAACTCTGGGGCCGTGGGGGCGGTGCCCCCACAGCTTTGAGACGGAATACCACACTTTTTTTGCAAATGTTTTCTTTTTTTGTTGAAAAAGCCGAGGGGTGAAAAATAAGTGGCCTAAAACCGGTGAGAAAACTAGATTTGGGGGTACCCTAGGTTGATCTCTATTATGGTGTGCCCCCCCAGTCGGAAAGTAGTTCCCGCGCCCCTGGGACGTTGCCAAGATGTCACGGAATCTCCGGCAGGACGACGCGATGTCGGGAACATCTTCCACGTCCAGCAGGCTGAAGATATCCTCCAGGATCTCTGTAGGAAGCTGCCTGACTGGCATGCACTCCATCTTGAATTGTCACTAGGCTCAAGCTGCTCGAAGTAGTCGTACGAAGTCTTGTACCGCACTGAACTACCCGCGCTTGGATCGGCGCCATCAACACTCGCTTCAGAGACTGTGGTGCCATCTATAGCCGGATTATGGAAATCTGAGCGCCCAAGGCAGCCAATAACGTCCCAGCAGGGTTGAGGCCGCCAATCATAGATTAGGCTAACGCTAAGCTCCGCCTCCTTGTTATCGAAGACCTGTGACGTCATTATACCCTGTTTGCTATCGATGTAACCGTGTTGTAGAAAGTTGGCCCGTTCATATTTTAACGATAAAACAGATCGACTGATAAAAGACATGAAAACATTCTCTCTCGTAATTAAAATATGTGAAATATTCTTGTAAAAAAGAAAATGAATGATTACGGAGCGAGCGAAGCGAGCGTAGTCTTTCGTAGATTAATGGAACTCTCTGAGTATTAGCAGCCGGCCGTGCTGACGCTTTTCAGCAACCACTTGATCGATTTACATGCGGTAATTTTTGTAGGGTAGCTTCATTCCTTCTGCCAAGTATTGAACTATTCCCGATGCATGCCTTACCTTACCTTACCTTACCTTTGCGGTAATCGGGATTTAAAAGGCCACTTGGCCTGGGGATCCCGCTCACATCGAGCTCGTAACAGGATACAGGCTGGGCTCTTAGGGGGTTGGGATGTCGAACATCGAGTCGCCCCAGTGTTTATCCAGGAGAGCCTTGAACTGGTTCACGGACTGGGCCGCCACCACTGCGTTCGGCAATGAGTTCCAGTCGTTGATGACTCTAATGCTGAATGAGTTTCTGCGCACCAGTTTCGAGGCCCTGGGCTTGTCGTGGCCCCTGGTACGACCAGAGTCACTCCGCGTCAGGAAGACTTCAGGTGGAATTGCCAAACCGCCGTGGAACAGCTGGTACACCGTCACCATGTCGCCTCTACGTCTCCGGTAGTGTAGGGATGGCAATCCCAACCGACGGAGCCGTTCAGTGTACGGGAGGTGCCTGATCGCGGTGACCATCTTTGTGGCACGCCGTTGCACGCGTTCCAGCTTCTTCTGGTCGACCTTTCCGAAGGGACCCCAGATGGTGTTTCCGTATTCCAGGAGGGGGCGAACCATCGTCTTATATAACAGTGGCAGTGTGAACTCATCGATGTTAGCGAATGAGCGCCTCACAACGGCCAGTATCTGGGAAGCCTACGCGATGGCTGCGGCAGTCTGCTTGTGGAAGTTGAGCTGGCAGTCTATGAAGATGCCAAGGTCTTTCTCCTCCTCTGTCTCTTGTATCGGAATGCCACTCAGGGTGTACGTCAGGGCCGGGTTTCGCAGGCCGAGATGCATTGCCTTACATTTCTGGGCATTGAATGGAAGAAGCCATTTTTCGGACCACCGGACGAGTGCGTCGATGTCGCTTTGGAGGCTTGTGCCGGTACCGGGCACTTGTCGATAAAGCTTAGTGTCATCTGCGAAAAGCTTGACTGAGCCAGACACTTCCAAGGGCAGGTCGTTGACGAAGATAGTGAACAGCACAGGTCCGAGGACCGATCCCTGGGGAATTCCGCTCGTCACCGGTGCCCAAGGGGACTTACTTCCCTGGACCACGACCCTCTGTCGACGACCGACCAGAAAGGCCGCAATCCAATTGAGAAGGGCTCCTCTGACACCATAGGCGTACAGCTTGTGTATCAATCGTTTGTGCGGCACGGAATCGAAGGCCTTAGCAAAGTCCAAGTAGATGATGTCAATGGCCTCGCCATTTTCGAGAGCACAGCTCCAATCTTCCATCGCTTCCATCAGCTGGGTAGTGCAGGACCTCTTTGGGAGGAACCCGTGCTGGGCGCTGTCAAGCAGACCATTTGTGCACATATGCTGGAGGAGGGCGTCTCGGACAATTGACTCCAGGACTTTGACGGGGATGGCCGTTAGTGTTATAGGTCTGTAACTCGAGGGGTTCTGACGGTCTCCTTTCTTGAAGATAGGGGTGATCTCTCCGGTCTTCCATTCTGGGGGGAGGGCTCCAGCATCCAGTGACTTCCTGAATAGTGTGCTCAGGGGCATCGCGAGGGTCCTTGCAGATTCGCGGAGGACTCGAGGCTGTATGGAGTCGGGTCCTGGAGAGCTGTTTGGTCTGAGGGAAGTCAGTTTTGCCTCCACTTTTTGCGCAGAAACGTCGATGTCTTCGAGGACAGGTCCATCCCACCGCACGTTAAGTTCTGGCTCTGGTTCGTTGGCTTCGTGGGTGAAAATGCCACTGAAGTACCTTCCCAAGATGTTAGCCTTTTCTTGGTTGCAGGATGCTAGCGCTCCATGTTCGTTGACTAGGTCTTCAACTCTGCTCTTGGTACGGAGTCTTGTGCTAGCGTATCTCCAGAAGGCTTTGGGATTTTCCTTTAGTTTACCCGCCAGACTGGATTCGTATTGCTTTCGCAAATTTCTTGTGAGTTTCCTTAGCTCATTCCTACAGCGTACGAACCTGGCGTGGTCAATTGGGTCTAGCGTTCGTCGATATTCACCCCAGAGTAACTTCTTTTTCTTTCGCAGCTGCATAGCTTTTCTGTCCATGTAGATGTTTTTCTTGGGGCGGATCTTTCTTCTTGTGGAGGCTTGTGACACAGCCTCGGATAACCGTGCCTTGAATGTTGCGTATGCATCATCCAAATTCATGTTATCAAGCTCTGACCAGTCTCGGGCACCCAGCTCAGCGGATAGTTGCACAAAGTCAGTGATCGTGCGACACTGAGGGAGTGAAGTAGCGGTATCTGTGTAACAAGGGAGGGTGAACCGGATGACCAGGTGGTCGCTACTTCCTAACGCAGGCTGGTACTGGAGGCTAGTGACCATACCCTCCTCATTCGTGAGGACCAGGTCAAGGACAGATGGGGTCTCGCCTAATCGGTATCGAGTTGGGTGCTTTATATGCTGAAAGAGGAGGCAGTCATGGATCAGGTCCAGGAAGGATTGTGAGATGTGCTGAGCTGGTGCGGTTTCTGATTCCCAGTCAATGTAAGGGAAGTTAAAGTCGCCGACGATGAGGAGGTGGGAGAATGGCAACAGGCATGCCTGCCGAAACAGACCCTCAAGGTGCTGCATACTTTCTTCTGGAGAACCAGAGGGACTTCTATAGATGCATCCCAACAGAAGGCGATCGCTTCCAGTGAGTGATAAACTCACCCAGGCGTGCTCCACTGATGAGTGTTCTAGAAAGACTTCAGACACACTTAGTTTTTCAGATGTGAAAATGCATACACCTCTCATGCCGCTAGTACCCAAGTTGGGTGTAGATGGTGCAAAGCTAGGGTGCATAGTGTATCCAGGGATGTGGAGCAGTGCAGGGGCTATTGGATTTTTTTGGGCCTTGGGAATCACTTCAGAGATGAGAATAATGTCTGGTTCATCATTGCAGATTAGCATGCAGAGGTCGTCCCGTTTGGTGGTGAACTGGTCGGCATTCGTATACAGAACTGTCAGACCCTTGATGCGCTGCCTTGGGTGACTTAGTCAAAAGCCATGGGCAGCATTTTCTGGTTGGGCTGAGTGGCCTTCTGTGCCAGAGGTGCCACCAGATTCCCGTACTGCACCAGGCAGACCTGCGCCACCCTGACCCTCGTTGTTATCAAGGGCTGCGGGTGTAGCCCCAATAATTTGAGGAGCAACAGGGGCTGGCTGAGCAGGGACACTGTCGGGGACATGGCTTCTAGACTCTGACTCCCTGGACTGAGAGGACACTGAGGTGCCACCAGACACACT